TATATATATATATATATATATATAAAATAAATGTACACAGTACACATACATATATTATGTAAACAAAAACTTGAATGTGATTAATCGTTTGACAGCACTAAAAGTAATATTAATCAGTATTAAAGCAATAATATTATTGCTTTATTTTTTCGATAATGTTGGTTAATGTTCCTGCCCGAACAGCAAACGGCTCAATTTGAAGGTTACCTGTAATGTGCACCACAGCACAAGCTACAGCAGAAAAACACAATGAAATGTATGAAATAGCTGTAGAGTAGGAAACCGGATAGTAAGAATCATACAAATGAAAATATCCTCACAGATGCCATGTAATTATTGAAGTGCTCAATTGTCTTCTCAGCATGTGAATGACCAGTAAATCAAACTTTATTTGAGCCTGGTGCTCAGGGACTCTTCTTAGCCAGATTGAACTTGAATTACAGACAGCTTGATGCACATGGGGCCCTTCATCTCAAACACAGGCCATTTACATTGTATTCTCAGGGTGATCAATCATGTCAGTAAGGAGGTGCTGCGTCCTTCATGCCAGAGTGGTGCCCTTTTGTGTCAAAGCTTTGTGTAAGAAAAAATGGAGGTTTTGTCTTTAGAATAGTCAAAAAGGAAGGTTTAAAATGCTGTTTAAGGGTAAATGGGAATAATAAAGGAAAAATGGCAAAAGAAAACAAAATCCCAAAATGAATAGAAAATTCATTGTATCTAGATAGAATTGTCATATTAGAGTAATAGGTATTATTTTTGTTTTGTTTTTTTTATAATATGAGATTTAATTCATTTATATAGCTCTTTATGCAATACAGACTATTTCAAATCAGCTTCACGTTAATAAACAGGAAAATAACTGTTAAATGTTATACAATTAATCAATTCTTCAACTTCAGCTGTAATGGAGCTCTACAGAAGATTATAGTGTCATTATTCAGCTCAATTTGTCATTATTCAGTTCAAAAACAGTGTCGATGTTGTAAAGTTAGTGTTATTTTCCAGATATTTCAGTGCAAATTTTGTTCTCCTCCTATAGTGTTAGTGCAGTTAAATTAATAATTTTACTGAATAGTAATATTGAGAAAGTGTTAAAAGTGAAGAAATGTTGCCTTGTCAACTGACTGAAATAAGTTGAATTACTAAAATTATTAAAACTGAAATAGATATAAATAAAAGCTAAATATAAATAATAGTAATAATAATAAATGACATAACAAGCCCATTAAATCTTCAGCTAAAATTAAAATGAAAACTGAAAATGTAAATGTAAAAGATAATTAAAAAAATTAATAAATACCATAATAGTATATACACTGAACAAAATTATAAACGCAACACTTTTGTTTTTGCCGGGGTCCGAAAACCAATAATACTTAAATAACATGATACAGAATCTCTTTTCATGGAGATCAACTTACAAAAGGCTTTACTTATAGTTGTCTCTGCATATTAAACTGAACTATTTTATCAGTATTTTTGAAAATATTTTTATTTTAAAATTGGATTTTTGAAATTTGAATTTTATTACAGTATTGAGAATTTGTGTGCATTAAAATAGTGTAACAATGCAAGAAAACCATTGTACAACATTTTTATTTTTTATGCATTTGGTTTTAAGATGAAATATGACCCAGATTTTTAAATGTAATGCATTTCCCTTGACATTTAGTCTCTTTTCCCCTGAAGCAAGGCATGAGCAGTCAAAACAAAGCAGAACGAAAAAAACTCTCGCATTACCTCGAGTGAACTTCCAACTCCAGCAAATCAAAAAGCTGTTTTTGCAAAAAAAAAGAAAAAAAAAACAACATCTTTGTCAACTATTTTAATGCAAGGAAATGGATTCAAAACGCCTTGAGGCTTGTATCCCGCTCAGAGAGTGTTACTTCTGCTCTTTTCATGAAATATTCAAGGCTCATCCTTATATGAAATTGAAATGACTGAAATTCTAATTAGCACATTGCCAACCCGAGACCATCTGTACGGAGTATACTCGTCTGTATAGTATACTCGACATTTCTTTTTTAATAATAATTTTTAAAAATGTTACTGGAAAATTAGATTAAAATACTGCTCAACAAATTTAGTTAGCTTTAACATTGTAATTTGGCATGTCTAAATATCCAGCTAATAATTCATTATTTATAATACTTAACTTAATTTGCTTCTTTTTTGAATTCATGTTTGGTCTTTTTGTGCTTTTTTGCAGATCTGTGTAACTGGAAGAACAAAGAAAGGAGTTTTATAGTGTACCTCAGTCATGCAGAAGGTAATGTATGTGGATGCTATCATGCTTGATTTGTATTTGTTTATTTTTTTCCAAGTTCATTTCACCTTAAAGCCATTTCTGCCAAAAATCTTCCATCTCCTAACACTAGAATTTCCAGAATGTTTATATAGCTTTTCTCAATTCCTCATATGTGGACACTAACCTCTATATTGTCTTTCTGTCAAAGTAAACCCATTAAAGTATGATCAGATCTGCAGTGGGTTTTTTCACTTAGTGAGAATGGAAAGGGGGCGTGGCTGAGTGACACACATCATCAGTTTGATTGATGGCATTACTTATAAATCTTATTTCTCATTAACAACATGTCACTGGATAGGAGCAGTTAAATGATGACCTCTGACCTTTTTGCTCTGCTCTCCCGCCATAGGCAGGGACGGCCCCGTCCTCCCAGGGTCCAAGTGCTCCTGGGTCCCCAGCCACCTCGATTGTGGTAAGTAAAACTTTCAGTTTCACAGATAACACATGCGTTCTGTTATCTGCCATAAAGCACATGCTCCACATCCCAGTTCCCAGGAACCCCGTGAGGCATCTCAGAGGACAAGCGTTTCTTTCACTCAGCCTCTCTCTTTCTAACTCCCCAAAGGCACGAATGGACAATCAGGTCATTGGATATAAAGACTTGGCCGCCATTCCCAAAGACAAAGCCATTCTTGAGGTGGAACGGCCAGATCTGATGGTGTACGAGCCACATTTCAATATCTCAGCCCTGGATCGGATAGGTCTCTCCAGAAGCAGAGAGGTCAGAAAAGAACGAGTGTGTCTTTAGATCGAGTCTTTGTTTCGTTGTACCATCGGGAAGCATTTGAGAAGCTTTATTGTACGTTTTACAACTTCCACTTCAAGTGGGATCAATATACAGTATATGTGTTTTGGCGAACAGGAAGCTGGATATAATGGGGAGGTGTAACTTTAATGCTATTCGTCAAGCTTTGTGATGCATGTGAAATCATTTGTGTGTGGTAAAGAGCCACAGAGCCATTGGATGTCAGACGTTGAAGACGATGCATGTACAGTATGTGTGTGTTCTGTTTTCTCTCCTTGTCTCCTCCAGAGATCAATGTCTCCTCGTTCTGTCTCGCCTCCTCCTTCCCCTGAGGTGAGCCATCAAGCCTCTGTCGATCATAACTCACACTAGTCACCGATCACTAGCTTTAACCACCACACTTATCTTCCTGGACACTTCCAGCGTGATTGTTTTACTGAGCCACTCAATGAATGAAGGACTTTCAGTTTCAGAATTACATTTCAGCTATGTTTGCCAAAGCAAAATATGGCAAATATGTCTTTAGTTATGTTTAATTCATGTTAATGATAATGTAAATAATTTTATTTAGTTTATTTATTTATTTATTTAGTCATTTAGCAGACGCTTTTAT